TAGTTTTTCAAGTTTATTTAGTTGAACCCTGAATTACGGAGTCACGGAAAGAGTTGATAAAATATCGTAATTTCTAAACCTGCTGATAGTGGAATTCTGCAGATATTTAGTTTTTTTTATTAAATAATTATATGAAGTTCTTTAAAACTGTTCTCACATATACTTCAAGGCTATTTATTCATTTTAACAATTACTGCGATTTTGGTGTAAAAGTATTAAACTCAGTTCTGGGTTAAACTGTAGTATTTTCACCTTAAACTAAATTAAAATTTAAGAGATTTTTATTTCCGAGGAATTTTCATATATTTTCATATATTTTCATATATTTTCATATATTTTCATATATTTTCATATATTTTCATATATTTTCATATATTTTCATATATTTTCATATATGCCCAAAAATGAAGTCTTAAAATGGTAAAAATATCTTGCAGAAGATTTCTTTGTTGCAACCTTTCAGGACTTCATTTCCAAAACTTGTTCTGCGGTCAAGGGCGTATACAGGGGGGGGGGTAGTGCCCCCTAGATCTGTAAAGGGGGGGCGTAGCCCCTCCTAGAACTCAGAGCTTTCAAACTTTTCAAATCTTTAACTCAAGAGTAAAGAACATAAAAAATTAGTTCAATCAGTGCACTAAGAAGATTGTATACGTTGACCAGAGCCACCATGACAGAAGTCCGGAGAAAGGTTAGAATGCACAGCCATCCTAATCGGATGGGCTTTATCAGGGATAGTAAAACAATTATTCTTAAATTCCAAGCCACGAAGGTTTGAGTTTGTAAGTAGTAAAAGATCTTTTATAAATTCGGATTTAATTTACTTTATTCATTGCACCGCCGTATTAAAATCTTTCTTTTTATTTCAAACTAGCTGAAGCGCCAGGCATTGCCCGTGGAATTTAAAAAATCGAATTAAAGCAAAAAACTTAAATTTATTTAGCCTTGGGTATCCACGAGTTTCCTCACTAAAATTCAGCCCATTTGATTCAGCCGTTTGGCCAGTCATAGCAAACAGATAAATTAACGAAAAGCTTTATTATATAGATTACAATTGTACTCCTTAAATGCAAGGTACTTGGACTGTATGTGTACCTTAAAAGTATTTTATACTTATGCCTGATATCAATAATGCTAAATGTTATGAATTTACAGTTCAAATTTTGCCCTCCCGTAGGAGCTCCTAGGAGGGGGTGACCTTTTTTTGGCGCTTCGCGCAAATTTGGCCTCCCTAGATTTATTTCTGTAAACGCCCTTGTACTGTAGCTAACAAAATGAGCACTTCAATTATAATTTGATTTTAAACATTTAATAAATATCTAATCAAGAATACGATAACAATTCAAACAAGTATAAAATACTGTAATAATTAAAAACATATTTTACAGTATTTAAATTATCACATTTTTTGTTTTTTAAATTTTACAACATCGTATTTTGACAGGGATTGTTCGCTAGAAATAAATAAGGGAATACACTGTACAGGATTAGCCATAATTAAATCATAAATATATCTACTGGTATTTCTCGATATTTCAATACCAAAAAGATTATTCGATGAAAATCGTCTTAAATGAATTCTGGAAATGTCCACCAAAGCAACAAATTGGTAGAGTTGGAGTGAACGCGTTTTATTAAAAAAATTAGATAGAAATAAATAAAAAAATCTTTACGATTTAATTATGTTAAATTCGATACATCATTTATTTTCTAGTAAATTCCCTCCCTTTAAACAGAAAAATGACTAACATCGTGTACAAAGCTGAGTTGCACAGTACACAGTGTACATAAATGTTATCCATAAATCCCTGTATATTCCGAAGTGTCTAAAGCGAAACAAATGAATTGAGTCCTTGAAACAAACTCAAATTTTATAAACTCTATCTATTTTCAACCTACTCGTATAGACCTTTCATATTTTAAACTTAATTTAATTGATCCAACTGAATTCATATTTTATGTCTACGCCATTGTGTTCCAAAGACAAAGGAATTAGAAAATCAGATTTTGTGGCAAAGACTCAATTCCGAAGTTAACTAAAAGTATGATTTTTTCCCTATTCAAAATTAATATATAATTCTTTTGATAATCTCCCCTCCTCGTTTTCAAGTTATAAAAACAAGGTGTCAAGTTTATCGAGTTTTCATAATATTTTATGCTAAACCCAAAATTTTTATGATAATCCGATACAAGGGAACATGTTTAGCTTGAGAGCAGAGATTAGATAAAAGGAGAGTTGTGTATAAAGATATACAGGAAGATTAATAAAACTCTGGAAGGTTCAGTAACATTATGCCTAGTTCACTATATCTAGATCATACTGGAAAAGAAAGACGACATTTAAGCTTCTAGTGTTACCAATTGCTTTAAAATCAACCGATAAAATGGTGGTTTGGACATTTCCCAATTGTAAAGTTTCATGTTTTCATTGGACTACTTAAAATCGTAACTAGAGTCTAACAGTTATCTTCGTATTCCACAGTTTTTTGGGCCTCACTGTAGTATATTTTTAAAAAGTCAGTAGAGGAACTGATCACATGTCTCAAACTCTAATCTTCTTTAATCTGTATATCTTTGCAACCTAATAATGGTATAAACCTCTGCTGTTTAAAACTTTAAGTATTGGATCTAGCAGAACTTACAGTTTGAAATATAAAAAGATTTTGACACCAGGTTGCTAAGATATAGTGATCAGAAATGTCATTGTGAGTAGAATATTCGATTGTTTAATGAAGAATATTCGATTGTTTAATGAAGAATATTCGATTGTTTAATGAAGAATATTCGATTGTTTAATGAAGAATATTCGATTGTTTAATGAAGAATATTCGATTGTTTAATGAAGAATATTCGATTGTTTAATGAAGAATATTTCGCTGAAAACAGGATTAGAACAAAATGTTGCTGTTTAATGGGCCTTTAAGGGGCTGTAAGCGCAATTTCAAGTGACCCTTTAGCAAAGAGGGCAATACCCGATTTACAACGGTACCTTTGACAATAAGTAAGTTTGGGTATCTTTGAAAATCGGACATTACCCTCTGAGCAGGAAGGTTCACTTGCAATTATGCGTACAGTCCCTTTAATTTATATACGAGGAGAAGGCTTACAGTCCCTTAATTGATATACGAGGAAGGGGTGTACAGTCCCTTTAATTGATATACGAGGAGGAGGCTTACAGCCCCTTCAATTGATATACGAGGAGGAGGCTTACAGTCCCTTTAATTGATATACGAGGAGGGGGCGTACAGTCCCTTTAATTGATATATGAGGAGGGGGCGTACAGTCCCTTTAATTGATATACGAAGAGGAGGGGGCGTACAGTCCCTTTAATTGATATACGAGGAGGAGGCTTACAGCCCCTTCAATTGATATACGAGGAGGAGGCTTACAGTCCCTTTAATTGATATACGAGGAGGGGGCGTACAGTCCCTTTAATTGATATACGAGGAGGGGGCGTACAGTCCCTTTAATTGATATACGAGGGGGGGCGTACAGTCCCTTTAATTGATATACGAGGAGGGGGCGTACAGTCACTTTAATTAATGTATGAGGAGGGGGCGTACAGTCCCTTTAATTGATATACGAGGAGGGGTAGTTTAGTCATTTTTCACCAGAAACTTTAATTTCTATTTTCAACTAGCTCGAAAGTTATTCTTAAGCATCCATCAAAAACAAGATCTTAAAATTGGAAATTTTATATAAAACTTTAATATGATAAGAAACTTTAAAAACTGCTAAATTCGTGAAAAAATTACGATTGAACCGCTTATTGTCATTACTTCAAGAATACGACCGTTATCTTATTTATAATTTGACTAGAATTAGACCGTTTCTTACCATAGATGATCTTATTTTTAGCTTCTTTAGAATAACGCGGTTAATTACAGATGACAGATTAAAAACCGCGCTAAATAACAGAATGAAAGCCTATTACATTTGTTGTTGAAAAAACGGTAATTTTTGGTCACCTATCAAGGAATGTTTTAGAATAAGAAACAAACGATAAAACTATTACCTATTATACAATATACAATATACATGATTTAGTACAAACATCTAACTAGTATTTAGTATTATTGAAGATGAATCATGATTCCGTAAAAAAAACTACTAAATTTAAATGTAATGTTCTGATTTTTTACAACATGGAAGTCTGATTTTACCATGAAAGTGTTCTGTTTTTAACATATGGAAAACATGTACTGTTTTGTATGCTAGCTTTGTAAGTGTTCTGGAACATTTTGGTTTCTGTACACTTTGGAAGTTTATTTTTGGTGTATATTATGAAGAGGGTACTTTTGGAATTGGTTGGTCAAAGTGTACTTTGGAAGTGTACTGTTCTTTGTATTGAAGTGTATTGGTCTTTCCATGGTTGGAAGTGTATTTCTGTCTGTACGTTGTGTTGGTCTATATCAAATAGATTGTTAAGTACAATAGATGGCAACGTAGAATTTGTACACTCTCAGTACAGTTGTATTCTTACGTCACAAGTGTCAATTTGGTTTTTGTGTCCGACAAAATTATTAATAAAAGTGATAATTTTAGAATAAAGTGCTTATCTTACAGTAAAATAAGTGCAATTTTATGTGTTATTTATTTTCTGTTTTTACACTTTTTTTATTTAATCTTGAAAACATGTCAAATAATGTGAGAAAATTTCGATTTTTTGGTTATATTTGACTCTTGTCTTTCTATGAAATGTAGTGGCCTCTGTATGGTGGAAGTGTATTTTTCGTTAAATATTTGGAAGTGTACATAGTGTTTTCTAAATACTCTGTAAGGTGGAAGTATATTTTTTGTTAAATATTTGGAAGTGTATATAATGTTTTCTAAATACTTAAGAAGTGTATTGGCCTCTAAATATTTTGGAAGTGTACTGTTTTCTTTCTAGGTTAGAAGTGTATTGGTCTCTAAATATTTTGGAAGTGTAGTCCTAGGTAGGAAGTGACTGTTTTCCAGTAAACTTGTTTTACTGTACTTTACTTGTCAGTAAATTAAAAAGCTAGTTAAAAATTTGTTTTAGTTAATTTACATATTTTCAACATTCCATTCCCTGCACTGGTAACTCAGAACATCTCCAATAGTAATTAAATCCGTCCTTTGATAAATTCGTTCGGATTACATTTCACTAAATTTGTTTTATCCCGTGACTGCACAGTGGTTTAGGCAATACTGCACAGTGTACATAGTAGTAAAGTACTCATACACAGGAGTTTAGGCGGACTGTACAGTGTACATAGTAGTAGAACTCCTTCATACCGCACCTGTACAGCAGTTTATACGGTACTGTACAGTATACATAGTAGTGGAACTCCTCCAAACCGTATATGTACAGCAGTTTAGGCTGTACTGTTCAGTGTACATTAGTAGTAGAACTCCTCCTTGTCTTGTCTGCACAACAATTATTGTACTGAGCACACATTGTCTAGTTGTAGAACCCGTACAACCCGTGCCTGTACAACAATTTTGTTGGTACTGTACACAGTACACAGTACACACTGTCTGGCACACGTTTATTTATTGTAAAGATATGCTAACTGTTATTGTTAATTTGTCGCCTTTTTTCAGGAGAAGCTGAAACTTCTAGAACCACTTGTTATTCTTGATATCAGAGAGATTTTCTGTGTTTATTCATCATTTCTAGGAGAGTTTTTCTTAGAAAAATATTACTAAATAATTCCTTTTATATAGGAAAGTGTTCAGAAATATAACTTCAGATTGTTCAGAAATACAACTTCAGATTGTTCAGAAATATAACTGCAGATTGTTCAGAAATATAACTGTAGATTGTTCAGAAATATAACTGTAGATTGTTCAGAAATATAACTGCAGAATGTTCAGAAATATAACTTCAGATTGTTCAGAAATATAACTTCAGATTGTTCAGAAATATAACTTCAGATGTTCAGAAATATAACTTCAGATTGTTCAGAAATATAACTGCAGAATGTTCAGAAATATAACTACCGATTGTTCAGAAATATAACTTCAGATTGTTCAGAAATATAACTAACGATTGTTCAGAAATATAACTACCGATTGTTCAGAAATATAACTGTAGATTGTTCAGAAATATAACTGTAGATTGTAGAGTATTCTTCTTAAGATAGTTTGTAAATGAAGACTCCAGCTAGTATCTGTGTAGAAGTATGGAGGAATCTGTCACAAGAACTAAAAATAAAAATCTGTTAAAAAAGGAATTTTTCTAAAAATGACAATTCCAATTTAAGGGACTATAAACGGTTTTCAAGAGGTGAATGTCAGATTCACAACAAATTGTCTGGTCAAGAATGTCAGATTCACAACGAACTGTCTGGTCAAGAATGTCAGATTCACAACGAATTGTCTGGTCAAGAATGTCAGATTTACAACGAATTGTCTGGTCAATAATGTCAGATTCACAACGAATTGTCTGGTCAAGAATGTCAGATTCACAACGAACTGTCTGGTCAAGAATGTCAGATTCACAACGAATTGTCTAGTCAAGAATGTCAGATTTACAACGAATTGTCTGGTCAATAATGTCAGATTCACAACGAATTGTCTGGTCAAGAATGTTTCTCTTTTTATAAAATGATTGTTTTTAAAAGTGGTTTCTCAACTAATTCATTTTTAATGCAAAATACTTTTCTAGCTAGAAATACAACGATATCTTTGACATCATTGATCAGAAAAAGATTAAATAGTATGGTTGTAATTCTGGAATGGAGGTTCACAACGAAGCTGTAACTTTAACCAAATTTTTATTTTAATTTCTAAAAATTCCTGTAGAATTCCCCGAAAGAAAGAAATCGGTAGCTCTCTGAAAAATGTTATTAATATTCATACGGCCGGGATATTATAAAACTTATTCAATACAGTAGGTACAGGCCTAAAACATGATTTTTAAGATAAACTCGTTTTTGTGGCTTTTTAAATGAAGAATTACTTGAATTATGTTTACAATCCCTTTATATGAGTTCAAGGAAATCTTTAATTAGATATTTGAAAACTAGAAATTAAATATCTGCTGTCCGGTCCAGATTTAAATTAATAAAAAATGGATATATACATATATATTTTACTCTGAACGGATAGGGTGTTAAAAACTTAAAAACAGTTTTTTTATTTGTCTGGACAAATTGACAAAGCTATTTTGATCAGACAAAAGTTCAGAATCGGACATGCTAATTTATATCGAGATACTGAAATTCCGTCTACTGTCCCTTTAATAAGTCCGATAATATTCTATGAAAAATGTTCTGGTTGTATTATATAGATATATGATATAGAATAAAAATATTCCAGTTTCTCAGCTCGGAGTTGGTTCAAGTGTTTACTTTACGACTAGTCTATATCTTCCACGCATTAGACACTAAAACATAGTTCAGAACTTTCACAAGTTTACATTTATACTTAAAGGGACAATCATCGTATTTTCAAGTGAACGTATCTAAACTCCATACCAGATTCACAACGGTAACATTTATCTCTGAACAGTAACATGCAATAACGTCGTTTTTTAGCTTAAACAGAGCTAATTTTTACATTTTTTTCTGCAGCAGCAATTCGCAATTTTGAGAGAACCCATAATTTAAAATAATAAGTTTTCAAAATGATAAACTTTAATATCATTCATTTGTAATCAGATAAAGTTTTTAAAGGTACCGTTGTGAATAACATATGCCACTCTGTTACTGAGGAGTCACTTAATTTTACGCAAACAGGCCCTTTAATAATAAACCCAGTCATTTAAGTGCAGTTACTCTTTAAACAGTTTTATAATGTTCTCCAGTACACTAATATTACCGATTGCAGAAAAAATGAATTTAAGAGACCTGGGTGAATGAATGGAAGAGAGCTGGATAGATGGAGAAGAGCAGGATGGATGATGCAGGATAGGATGGATGGAGGAAAGCAAGATAAATGGAGGAGTGCTGGATGGATGGTCCAGGATGGAATTGATGGAGGAGCGCATAATGGGATGGATAGAGGAGAGCAGGATGGGATGGATGGAGGAGAGCTGGATGGATGGCGCAGGATAGGATGGACAGAGGAGAGCAGGCTGGGATGGATGGATGAGAGCAGGATGGATGGAGGAAAGCTGGATGGATGGTGCAGAATGAGATGGATAGAGGAGAGCAGAATGGGATGGACGGAGGAGAGCTGGATGGATGATGCAGTATGGGATGAATGGATGAGAGCAGGATGGATGGAGAAGAGCTGGATGGATGGTGCAGGATGGGATGGATGGAGAAGAACAGGATGGATGAGGGCAGGAAAGATGGAGAAGAGCTGGATGGATGGTGCAGGATGGGATGGATTGAGGAGAGCAGGATGGATGGAGAAGAGCTGGATGGATGGTGAAGGATGGGATGGATGGATGAGAGCAGGATGGATGGAGAAGAGCTGGATGGATGGTGCAGGATGGGATGGATGGGAGGATGATGAGAGACGGGGAATGGGTCCCCCGAGACTATAAGAATTTTGATAATGGAAACAAGACAAGCCTGGTATCCTTAGATACACAGATACACAGATACACAGATACACAATATGATATGACCATTGACCAACCTCGAGTACGCTTCTATTCTTGTATTACGTATACGTGTACTAACCTGGAGTTTGCTTCTATTCGAGTTCTACTTATACTTGTACTAACCTGGAGTATGCTTCTATTCTTGTATTACGTATACGTGTACTAACCTGGAGTACACTTCTATTCTTGTATTACGCATACGTGTACTAACCTGGAGTATGCTTCTATTCTAGTTTTACGTATACTTGAACTAACCTGGAGTACGCTTCTATTCGAGTTCTACGTATACTTGTACTAACCTGGAGTATGCTTCTATTCTAGTTCTACTTATACTTGTACTAACCTCGATTATGGTTCTATTCTAGTTTTACGTATACGTGTACTAACCTGGAGTATGCTTCTATTCTAGTTTTACGTATACTTATACTAACCTGGAGTATGCTTCTATTCTAATTCTACTTATACTTGAACTAACCTGGAGTATGCTTCTATTCTAGTTCTACTTATACTTGTACTAACCTCGATTATGGTTCTATTCTAATTTTACTTATACTTGTACTAACCTGGAGTACGCTTCTATTCTTGTATTACGTATACGTGTACTAACCTGGAGTATGCTTCTATTCTAGTTTTACGTATACTTGAACTAACCTGGAGTATGCTTCTATTCTAGTTCTACTTATACTTGTACTAACCTCGATTATGGTTCTATTCTAGTTTTACTTATACTTGTACTAACCTGGAGTACGCTTCTATTCTTGTATTACGTATACGTGTACTAACCTGGAGTACGCTTCTATTCTAGTTTTACTTATACTTGTACTAACCTGGAGTACGCTTCTATTCTTGTATTACGTATACGTGTACTAACCTGGAGTATGCTTCTATTCTTGTATTACGTATACTTGTACTAACCTGGAGTATGCTTCTATTCTAGTTTTACGTATACTTGTATAACCTGGAGTACGCTTCTATTCTTGTATTGCGTATACGTGTACTAACCTGGAGTATGCTTCTATTCTTGTATTACGTATGCTTGTACTAACCTGGAGTATGCTTCTATTCTAGTTTTACGTATACTTGAACTAACCTTGAGTATGCTTCGCTTTTCATCTCTGGTTTCAGTGACTCTAGGTACAGTTTATGCCAGATAGATGGAGCTAGATCTTTAGTACTCCATGGCATTACACTAGATAGGTTAATATAGATAATAGATAAAGTAATATGTATATGAAGAAACAAAAATAAGTAGATTGATTGTAACGGACCTCTAAATATAATATGATTATTTAATTTAAATTGGTTGACTTTCATTTTGTTAGAAATTACTCTCATTTTATGTTTTTAGAATAAAGATAGTAATAAAATATCAAACAATTTAAAAAAAAATGTCGATGACTGGAGATACTTAATGAATAAAATATAGCCGTTAAAAAAACGTAAAAAAGCACTGCAGGTAGGTACAAACTTGGGAAGTTACCGATTGGGAAATTGCACATTTGGGAAGTTGTCAATTGGGAAAATACCCTTGGGAAGTTGACGCTTGGGAAATTGCCTTTAGGAAAGAACATAAAATAGATATATTTTGACAGATCACCCCTGTATGCCGGGTCCATTAGCGCCTGATCCAATCAGGGTTTAGTCATGTGTTTGTTGTCTATTCTGAACCAACAGAAATAGCATGGCGATAACATCTATCTTTCTATCTATATCATTATCCAATTATAGATATGAATCCTTAAATCGGCGCTAACAGTAAATGGAAATTTTTACTTCTACTGAAACTATAGTGAGATAGATAGATAAATAGATAAAAAGATAGATAGATATATTTAGATAGAAAGAAAGATAGATAATGGTTAGTAAAATGGATAAATAATACAAACCTAACATTAAGCATTGCTTGGTACCCCTCTTCTAAATTTGCCACAACAAAAAAGTTTTCATGTCTGATCAACAATTCCTCATTTCCACTTTTAATTAGAAGATTTTGAAGAATAAATGAGATCTATGTCGTAAACTGATTTGATTAAAATCATTAAGAGAACCTTGCAAAGGAAATCTGATCCGTTTATCTTTGCAACGTGATGGTTTAAACCGTTGATTTTTCAAACTTTGACTTTTTAATTTTACAGAATTCATAATTTAAAATATTTAAGATTTACAACATAAACTTTAAGAGATAGAGCGTAAAAAATTAGTATTTGAGGCGGTTAATCAGTTCTTTTAAATTACCAAGCAATTGCACGTGTAAGTTTAAAAAAAGATATTTTATAATATTACAGGGAGATGCTACCACAGCTAGTTTTACTTCTTTTTAGATACAAGAACTAACATTTGAAAGAAAAAATACAAATTATTAAAATAAAAAATCTGATGAGCTCAAAACTTTTTAATGATTACGAATCAAAATTCATCAACTTCATGAACGTATAGTGTTTAATAATAGTATCAAATAAACATAAATTTAATAACAAGTTTTTTTCGAAACATCATTTATAAGAACCCTTCAACTAATTGTGACCTTAGAAAGTGTTTTAACCATTTCTATTTTTCTGTTTTAAATCATTAAATTTTATTCCATATTTATCCGGTTTGGTTAAAATGTAAAATATATTTAAATTTATAAATGTTTGAATAAGAAATGGCGGATTCCTGAAGAGAATATTAGAGCCTGGTTTCCCCCTCTGGAACACTCGACCCTAAACCAATTCAGTTTTAGAAAATATCTTTAAAGGGATTGTCAACGTTATTTTAAGTGACCACCCCCCACTGTAATCTTGTCATTTGTTGCATAAAACGTCTGGGGTCAGCTCTATACTGAGCAGCGAGACTCGACATTACGAATATATACGGTATTACACATCCTCGACTAAGCTTTAGGTGCATTCTGCAGTAAATTGCAATACACTAACCGAAGATATAGGTGCATTTGTTGGAGAGTGTACACGTTGTACCGGCTCGGATCACGAAACTTTTAGGTTGGGGTGCAGCCTCATTTCCAATTTATAACGGCACCATTTTACACTGATTTTATAAAACTATTGTGTACTTTATCATTCTTACTCACTTCATTGTGAATTTCATAATAAACCTGCTATAAAGTAATCATCGTGCTATAAAGTTAAATTAGCTGTACATTATAGCACGTGTGCAATAAAGTTTTTGTTTCCCGGATTTTCTCCAAAAAATTTAGGATATTTCCAAAATAATTTCTTTAATTGAAATGAAAATAAAATTGAAATCAACTTTATTTTTTTACTTCTGCGATGTTTGAAAGCCATTGAAATAAGACAAGTACACAAACGTTTCAAAAAATTATTATTTCCTCTATATCTCGAAGGTTAATAGCTTTTACCTTCTCGACAAAAAAAAATTCTGTCCAAAAACCTTATAACACTGCGAACCAAAATAACAGCTATTATATTTCGGTTCTACTCGGAGCATTCGAGGCTTGACCTAATTTTGGCCTAGACTCTGACTTATAATTCCTATATTCCAATGTCGTAGACCTTAGATCTTTCGAACCTACAGCAATTTAAAAAATTGAATTTGTGGCAAAGATTCAATTCTGTTTTTCAGTTTTTTAAATGAAAACGTATACTAAGACAACTCTATGAGTTAACTAAATCAAGTTTTGTCTTGTTGAACAAAGTAAAACATTTAGCAAGATCTGATAATTGAATTTATAATTTACATTAAATTGATAAATTAAGACAGGCTTAGAGTTCATGCTTGAATATGCAATAAATTAAATATTAAGATAATATCCCAACGATTAGTATTTAATAGTAGGTAATAATTAAAATTTAATAATAGGTAATAATTAAAATTTAATAATAGGTAATAATTAATATTTAATAATAGGTAATCATTAATATTCTTTGATAATTATTTATCAATATCTCTAAATAACTAAAGTTAATATTTAATATTGGATTTAAATTTATATCAAATAATAATAAAAATAATGATAAAAAATTATTAATGATAATTGATAATTAATTAAATAAACCTGTTCATGATCAATCATCTCCTTGTAGTAATAAGGAAGCATATCCTAAACATTATATCTTTTGTTAATTACTTTCCGCCACTTTTTAAAAATGCACAATACCACCCCAAACTGCATCTGTTGAACGGTAAACTTAGAACCTTTTTCTGATTAATATTATGGAAGAAAGTTGTTTTTACAGCTTGAAAATTTGTCTAATTATGACAATTTTCTCAATTGTTTCTGCTCAAGAAATGCGCCAGTGACTTGCTTGACATAGTAGTTGAGTTAAAAGTGCAGTATTTGACACCAATCACCAATGAGACATTTTTACGGTGTACAATTTTAAATAAGAGCGTAAAGTCAGCAGGAGAAACGTTTTTGCAATTTTTAAATAACACGAACAAAACATGTAACAAAAACTAACCTACAAACTAGTTTCATGGATGTTGTATACGAACTTGTATCATTGAAAATATAATTATCAAAATTCATTTCAAAATCTCGCAGGTTTATGCAAATTCTTTCAGCTGGGGTCGCTTGTTGGAGGTTTCTTTATTTTGATTGTAAAGACGACATTTTGACTTTTATCGAATATTTCTTTTGAGAAATATGATCCTGAAAAGCAAATTAGTCTATAAAATTATATTTTTTACATGCTTTGCTCAGATTATCAAATAATTGTAAAAAACGTTTCTAGCCATTTATTACCTTATGAGTATTTGTAATACTTAATTTAACTATAAAAATGAATTGTATTTTATATATCTATATTATATTTACCCTTGAAACAGTTGTGGTTAGTTTAACAACTCCAATAGCAAGATAGGAATTGTAGATACCTAAATAGAATTTAAATATATCAATAAGGGGGAGGGGAGGGGACAATTCGTCCAATAAAGAAAAATAAGTAAAATGTGTAGGATGTGTTTTTAACAAAATCGAGATTAAAAATTAAAGATAAAACTCAATACTCCTTTATAAATATCTAAATAAATAATTGATAATCAAAACACAATATTATTTATATTTACCTGCCTACCTCTGGAAAGTTTATTTACATGCCTACCTCTGGAAAGTTTATTTACATGCCTACCTCTGGAAAAAATGTAAATATTCAGTACTCAGATCTGTACTGCAAAACCGTGTGTGCATTTTTTTATTTTCCATCTTTGAGTAGCTCACCTAGATTGTAGGGTATACTCCACATAACAATAAGATGAACATTTTGGTCCTCTGTCAAGCACACAGTTGTTCAAAATTTGTGAATTTGCTAAAGTTTTCATATTACACAAAAATCGATGAGAATTTTGCTAATTACTTTCTAAATACTATAGTTAAAAACAAGTGGTTTATAGTTCTAAAATGTATACATGTCTATTGTCTATAAATACTATAGTTAAAACAAGTGGTTTATAGTTCTAAAATATAAACATGTTTTTTCAGATATTTTGAATTTAAAACAAACAAATGAAGGCTTCCCTAGTTCCCAGGCAATGACCCCACTAGTACCAGTAAAGCTGACATCTCTTTTATTTCCTAGAACATGATTCATTAATTGATTTCAGTTATCTATCTATCTATCTATCTATCTATCTATCTATCTATCTATCTATCTATCTATCTATCTATCTATCTATCTATCTATCTATCTATCTATCTATCTGTCTATCTATCTATCTATCTATCGTTCTGTCGTTCTATCGTTCTATCTATCTATCTGTCTATCTATCTATGGTCTGTCCAAAATTGGTAACCGTATCTAAGTCAAATCGTAATAATTGATGCAGATTTGTTCTAAAGATTTTTCAAGGATTTAATCTCTTTTGGTAATATTTCTACTTTTTACATGACTTTATACTATTCACTGGAATTTCTATTTTGTTCTAAATCTAATTTTTTGTCTTAATTCCAACTAATTTTTAATTATTTATTCTCTGTCTTCTCCAATTCTTGATAATTTGTACCCTGAGCTGAAAACTTTAGAATGGACACATTTTTGATTTTCTTCTTAAAGGAACTGTAAAAGAAAAAGGAAAACTGTTTAAAATTGATAACGAAAATTCATATATATGCAATTTTGTATGAAAATGCAAAAAAAAAATTATAAAAGGAGCTAACCTGAGATTCTCAGGCTCCTGTGGGATATCGTCGTTTTCAGATTGGTTGCGTATTTGTTGAATATGATCTATTTAATACTACAACTTGTATACAAAATTGTATATATATGAATTTTCGAATAAATTTGACACAGTTTTATATCAATTTCTCGAGACAGGAACATCAGATAGATGTTTTATAGGTATTGTTTAACGCCTGAGATTCTCAGGTTTTATCCTATACCCGTTTCATTTTTCCTTTACAGTCCTTTTAATCCTCTCTTTATAAAAGTTAAATTTGATAACGATTACAGATGCGATTCTATTTCGATTGGACTAATATCCTATTAAACTAAAGTCAGCTGTTCACAAGCGGGCTTTTAGAGCATTTAAAGAAATATAAACTTAATTATGTTAATATGAACTTATTAAAAACATATTTTATCATATTTGAGGACTTTAGTCATTTTTAACGTTAGTCTTAATAAACATTAATTCAAAACTTACGTTCTTTAGTCGATTGTTAGTTCAATTGATATGACACCATCAACACCAGAAATGCGCAAAAAATAAAAACCGGTTTTTCAAAAGTTAACATGATACGCTGGATATCGAATGCGTATTAACCAAATCTCGGGTTTAGTAAAACCAGGAGATCATATCCACCATTCCAAAGTTTTCAGCTCTTGTCTTTTATTTGTTTAACGCAAAAAAATCAGTTTTTTTCCGTGGTTTTTTTTATGTATTTTATGTATTTATTTATATTGCTTAATCTATTTCTAAATTTATTCCTTTTCTATTCATCTATATATTTCTAAATCTATATTTTCTTCTAATTTACTCAATTTATTTCTCTCTGCCACAAACTCTGATTTTCTATTCTCTATATCTTTGCAACCCTTAGACATTTCAAGTTAAGAATTCTGGTAGATCAAATAAACTAAGTTTGCACCATCAGGTTGCAAAGATATTGGGATTAGGGGTTTACCTGTTATTATTATTTCTCTATGAGAGGGGAAAACCTCCCGGTCATGGAAACCTTAAATTTGAAAAAATACTATCAAATATCTTCGTAAAAAAAGATTAAAAAAGAATAATAATAATGAAAAAAATAATAAAACTAATAATAATATCATCAATGATAATAATAATAATAATGATGATAATAACACTGCACTGCGTCTGTGCGCTTTTTTTCAACAATTCAAATATGAAAATAATTGGGGCACTTTTAAAAAAGAAAAATAGGTTTGATGACGACCAGCTTTTTGATTGGGATTTATTTCAAAAAATAAATTCCATAATGAAAATTTTACCACTTGATTCAGACTAATATACGGCCTTGATGCATAATACTCAAAATTCATGACTATTTTCTTAAAAAGTAAAAACTAAATTGAATTTTTGCAAACCCAAAGAAAATAAAAAAGGCTTAAATTTCATATCTTTCTTGTAAAAAACCGACACCAGTTACTCAATATAGCATGATTTAGTAATGAATGCGAATACTTAGATTTATGAGATAGTGGAATAACAATGTTTTAGTTTAGTACGTGTCCCGACTAACAAATTGTTTCACTAATAATTCCATGAATTTTAAGTAATAAATTCCTTTTTATAATTTTGCATATATTGATAGGATATTTCAGGATATTTCAGGATATTTCAAGATATTTCAGGATATTTCAGGATATTTCAGGATGTTTCTGGTTATTTTAGGATATTTCAGGATATTTCAGGATATTTGAGAATAATTACCTTTCTGGAAAGTTCCATGTTTGAAGTAGAAAACTTGATAGCCTAAAAGAATTAAGATAAATGTTAATATATATTTAGAAAAATATTTCCTCCTGCACCCCCAACCATAATTTTCAATGATGTAATTTGTGTTAAGAGGTTTCCAATAATCTGTAGTTAGAGGGTGGCAGAGAGCTCCATTTATCAATGATAAAATTCGTAAATCATAAAACTAAATAAACTTTACAGACTTTCATTTTATCCTTTATTTATTTTGTAAGAAATCGCTTTTTTCCATTCTCTCTATATCTAAATATAAATTTGGCTTGTCTGCCTGTATCCAAAAAATCCAGGCCCGTAACCAGGATTTGACCAGGGGGGGGGGTGCAATGACTCGCCGAAGGAGAAAAATTTTTTTGGGGGGTTTTTAACGATTTTTAAACAATGTTTGGTTTGGTTTTACAGTGGTATATGTTTGTTTTTATTACATTGTCAATGCACACTATAAAGGCTAACCTTTTTAACAAGTGTATTTAAGCTTTTAAGGGAGTACTGCTTAACTATAAACAGAGTCATTTATTACTTTGACTTTGCAATATGAAAATGATATGATCTTATTTCTTATTCATTTAAAAAAAAAGCTTTTCAAGGGTCAAGGGTGTGCCTCACCACGGAAATGGATCAAAAAACAGACTCATAAAACATAGCACACCGGTCAAGGGGGGGCTAAACGTCTGAAAGTGTACAGGAGATTACCATTTCATTTCCATGGGACTCTATGCATATGATTAATAAATCATACTGTTTTAATTAGACTTAAACAACTATCAAATGACTATGAGTAAATTTTGATGTTGTGTTATATGTACTGATCAACTGTTAGTTAGCCTGCGATGGGTCACAGGAGAGACATGACTCAGGGGATGAGTTGAGAGAATACACAAAAACTCCGTCACACTTTTAATGAGTAACGCACAAATAGATTATAATTTCGTTTGGAAATCAATTCTTACTCGGGCTATATAATTTATAACTAGATTTTAGAAACTTATGAAAACAATTTCTTTTATATGGGACTAGGGGGGGGGGGGAAATTCGTCAATGCACCCCTCTTTCAGAAGAAATGGGGGTGCACCTGCAACCTTGCACTCCCCCTGGTTACGGGCCTGAAAAAATCTGAAAACAGCTGAACCGATCGGGTCACATAATCATATGGAAGGTTAAAAATGAACGAATTTCCCCGGAAAAAATGTTGACATTTTGTAATTTTTAAAAAATGAATAAACTTGAACAGAAAAATCTTCAAAAAAAGTTTGAGTTGTTACAAGAAAAGCCCCGTATTTTATAGATTTAGTAAGACAAAATTAAAAACAACTAATTCTTGAAAGGTTTCCAGAACGTACTTCAAAACCTTGATTAGTTTGGTCTCAAATTAAAGTAAACAGAAGAAATGATTTCAAATCAAAACAATAAAGAAAACATTACAGCAGGTTTTCAGTTGTATGTTCGGAATTCTGAAAATCACATTAGATATGCTAGAAATAAATTGAAAAAATATTTAAATGATTTCTATGAAATATTTTGGAAAATCCTAAAGTTGACATGTTTATTAATCAGTTTATTTTTTAGAAGAGAACTTGATTTATAGATGTAAAGCAAATATGGTTTGGTAACTTTATGTTAGAGAAGTGAATACCTAGCAGCCATCTTGTCCAATTTTCCACGTTGAGAATACAGCGAACTTGGTGGCCATTGCTCACATTACGAACACTGTCCAAACTAAACAAAGGAACTGAGTCTTTGACACAAACTCAAATGCTCCAATCACTATATATTTGCAACCTGATGGTGTAAACCATTAATATTTTAAACTTAAATTAACTTATCTATCAGAATTCACAATTTAAGATATCTTATAAGACATTGGGTTGAAAAGATATTGAGATTAGAAAATCATAGTTTGTGGCAAAGACTCTATTTCTTTTAAGTGTAAATTAGAATTCCGCAAACCAGGTGTATGGGGGGGGGGTCCTAAGGAGAGAGGTTGGAGCAGTCAAATTCCTTAAATTTAAAATCTTTGAAAGGAATTGAGTTTTGGTCACAAACTCAAACTTTCTAATCACTATATCTTTACAATGTTAGGGTGTAAACGTTTGACATTTCAAACTTAGATCATTTGATTCGACAGAATTCATAGTTTAAAATATCTAAGGTCCACAAAAGCAGGATGCAAAGATATAGGAATTCAAAAAGACTCAATTGTGGCAAAGACTCAACTACTATGTAACAATCTTTTTAAGTTAAAATTTGCACATTCACGTAACATATCTATTTTCATTGATTGTATTCAGCTTCTTTTTTAGCTTCTTTCTTTGCAAATTTGATCATAAAAGTCCATTCCCTACCAAGGAAAGCAAAATTTGAAATTAAAATTTGATGTATTAAATTTTTAAATTATCATTCGAATTAAAAAGATTCTTAATAGACCAAGCATAGTGATAACCAGTAAACTGTGAAATAGGAAAAAAACTGTTAGACTTAAGTTAGAACTTTAAATAGTTTAATGCGCATAGGACACATCAATTGTGCAGTGTAAACAGGTTTAAATCAGAGTGACAGCTTGATTAAGTTCTTTTCAGGTTTGAAAGAAACGACAGTTCTGATTCATAGATCATCTGGTTTGGTTAATATCCGCCCTATTATACCATCTTCAATGAAAATACAAATTGATAAAATTTTGATTTACAAGAAATGTGTTAAAGAGTGTATGAAGAAAAAAGTAAAAATGCTGTGCTTACACTCCAATAAACATTTTCCCCTTTAGAAAAATCTGAAAAGCATAGAATATTGTAGATAATCAGACAAGCATAGAATATTGTAGATAATCAGACAAGCATAGAATATTGTAGATAATCAGACAAGCATAGAATATTGTAGATAATCTGACAAGCATAGAATATTGGACAAGCATAGAATATTGTAGATAATCAGACAACCATAGAATATTGTAGATAATCTGAAAAAGTTTCTTTATATGACAAATAAATCCCGATATAGCTAAGTTCCAGTGTAAAAAATGTCTTATATGTTTTTTTTTCTGGAATTTTGTTTTATAAGGTATTATATGAAGGCCTGGCGTTGCCCGTGGAAAAAATTTGTTAACCTATGTCATCCCAAGGCTACTCATGATTGTCCAAAAAAATTTCAGCCCATTCGGTCCAGCCGTTTGGCCGGCTATAGGGAACATATATACGAATGTCTTGTTTTAATAATAGTTATTGAAAGAAATATATTCTGAAAATCTCAACCCAATTCTGTCAGTCATCTTGGTAACTTGGTAGTTGGTATCTTGTTAAAAAAAACAAGCTTGAATTAAAACTTTTTGAAATTGGTTACACCTGACTAGGACTGCAAAGTTTTGTATGTTCCACCCGATATGTTGTGAATATTGGAAAAACGTGGTGTAAAAATTGATAAAATATTTATTAAACTTGAATCATGTTAACTTAGCAAAATAATTTAAGCTCCCTTAAGCTCCCTTTAAGCTCCCTTTAATGGGAGTATTCGTGAAAAATGAAAGGGGGTATAGGCTTACGGCGAAAAATAAGTGATTTTGATTGCTCCTAATCTTACTTCTATCTGTTGCGCCTATTAGTAGAAAATTGTTAAAAACGACTCAAACAGAAGAACGTGGCGTCCATAGAAATTTAGAAAGTTGCAACATGGAACTCGGATCGTTAACAAATCAATTTAATTCCAAACAAGTCATTCAGATATCATAAACAATCATCAATAATTTTTTGACGCATTCGTATATAGTTGATATTTCATAACATTTTTGATAATTATTTATTTATTTATTTTTCATGAGAGTTACTTTTAAAACATTTATTCCTGTTTCGAGGATTTTTGATAATGAAAACGACAATTTCATATTTTCCAGGACTGTTCGACAATCATGCGCCAGCGAAATATTTAAAAAAAAATTCAAAAATATTATCAAATGTTACCTAAGTACGAATGCGTCGAAAAATAATGACTATTGTTTGTAATATCTGAATGATTTGTTTGGAATTAAATTGATCATTTTACGATCCAAGCTCAATGTTTTTTAACAATTTTCTCCTTCTAGACGCCACAGATAGAAGTAATATTAGTAGCGATCAAAAGCGCTTAATTTTCGCCGTAAGCCTGTACCCCCTTTCAATTTTTCGCAAACACTCCCTTAAAGCTCCCTTTAAGATCCCTTTAAAATCCATTTAAAATCCTTAAAAGTTTATTTTAAGATTCTTTAGATGTTCTTATTAAGATCCTTTTCAGATCCATAAAAGTCTTAATCCCTATAAGATTCCTTTAAACCCAACTAATTTATCTCTTTCACTCTTTTTTTAATCCCTTTTCACTCCGTTCAGATCCAGGTTTCAGATCTCTTAATAATTAATCAAAGAATTTAAAGGTCCCTTTTTAATATTTTAAAGGTCCATTTAGCATCTTTAAATGATCCCTTTAATATCTTTTCACAATCCAGTCAAGGTCTTTTAAAGATCCCTTTAAGGTTTAATAACGACCTTTCAAAGATCCCTATCCTCTGAAGAATTGAAATATCTTTACAAAGTTTTGAAGAAATATTCTCCTAGCTTCCCGCATCATTAAAATTGGAAAATTTTATGTTTTGTCAAAAGAAAATTTTACAAAAGTTCAAACTTTTTCTTTTCATTCGTCAAAATTATTTTCTATAATGAAAAACTTGAATCATTAATAAAAACAGTTTTTTTCTAAACTACAACAACAAGAAAAGCTAAATTCTAAACATAATTCAACCATAAATTGCAACATTAGAAAGGATTAAATTTTAATTCTTATGAAATTTTTAACTTTTTTATTTAAAAAATGATTTTACCTTATGGTGGAGGTAGGGCTGGGGTGCCGGGAAGAAGAATTAAAATAACTTAAACCATCTTGAATCAGAGCTTCACGTTGGGTCATTAATCGATTCACTAGTCCTTCTATACATAATATATAATCAATTAATCGATTCACTAGTCCTTCTATATATAATATATAATCAATTAATGGATTCACTAGTCCTTATATACATAATATATAATCAATTAATGAATTCACTAGTCCTTCTATACATAATATATAAATCGATTCACCAGTCCTTATAAACATAATATATAATCAATTAATGGATTCACTAGTCCTTCTATACATAATATATAATCAGTTAATCGATTCACTAGTTCTTTTATACATAATATATAATCAATTAATGGATTCACTAGTCCTTCTATACATAATATATATAATCAATTAATGGATTTACTAGTCCTTCTGTAAATAACATATAATCAATATCGATTCACTAGTCCTTCTATACATACTATGTAATCAATTAATGGATTCATTAGTCCTTCTATACATAATATATATAATCAATTAATGGATTCATTAGTCCTTCTGTACACAATATATAATCAATTAATGGATTCATTAGTCCTTCTATGCATAATATATAATGAATTTATCAGAAGTTAATAAGAAACTAACCAGAAACTAACCAGAAACTAACCAGAAACTAACCAGAAACTAACCAGAAATTTGCCAGAAACTAACCAGAAACTATCCAGGAATTAACCAGAAATTAACCAGAACTAACCAAAAACTATCCAGGAATTAACCAGAAACTAACCAGAAACTAACCAGAAACTAACCAGAAATTTTCCAGAAACTAACCAGAAACTATCCAGGAATTCACCAGAAATTAACCAGAACTAACCAAAAACTATCCAGGAATTAACTAGAAATTAACCAGAAACTAACCAGAAATTAACCAGAAATTAGCCAGAAACTAGTCAGAAACCAACCAGAAACTAATCAAAAACTGAAATTAACGAGAAACTAACCAGAAACTAATCAGAAACTAACCAGAAACTAACCAGAAACTAACCAGAAACAAACAAGATATTAACCATAAATCAATCAGAAACTAACCAGAAACTAGCCAGAAACTAATCAGAAACTAACCAGAAACTATCCAGAAATTAATCAGAAACTAACCAGAAATTAACCAGAAACTAACCAGAAATTAACCAGAAACTAACCAGAAACTAACCAGAAACTAGCTAGAAAATAACCAAAAGCTAACCAGAAACTAACCAGAAACTAACCAGAAACTAACCAGAAACTAACCAGAAATCAACCAGAAACTAACCAGAAACTAATCAGAAATTAACCAGAAACTAACAAAAAAATAACCTAAAACTAACAAGAAACTAATCAGAAACTAATCGGAAACTAACAATAAATTAACCAGAAATTAACCAGAAATTAACCAGAAACTAACAAAAAATTAACCTAAAACTAACAAGAAACTTATTAGAAACTAACCAGAAACTAACAAGAAACAATCCAGAAACTAACCAGAAACTTACCAGAAACTAACCAAAAATTAGCCAGAAACTAACCAGAAACTAGCCAGAAACTAACCAGAAACTAACCAGAAACTAACCAGAAACTAACCAGAAATTAACCAGAAATTAACCAGAAAATAATCAGAAAATAACCTGCTGGATTAACGCTTTTAACCTCACAAAGCATGAGACTAAACCCAATTAGCAGAATCATTGTGCTCTCCATTCCTGAAATAATTCTTTAGTTTAAAGAATGAATAAATAAAGATCATGTTTCAAATTATAATTATGAATTTCTAAAAGTTGTATTTAAATTCCAAATATCATGGGTTGAATTTCTTTTTGTTAAATTATTTCATCTCCAGTATACATTGGGGAAATATGAGGGTATAATCTACTCATCCATTTATCCTATCCATCCATCCATGCATTGCATCATCCTATCCTTCCCTCTCTCAATCTACAGAGGGACCAATGAAGTTGTGGAATAGAAAGACGACATTTAAGAATTTATTTAATGTTGAATATAACCAAATATCGTAACCAGAGGTTTGAAATTGAACTTAATCAGTGAAACGGAATGTACAGTATACGCTGTACAGTTGCAGCGTATCTTGTTTATTCAAGTTTAGCTGTCGTCTGTCTTCTTTCCCATTTTTATGGGTCCAACTGTATATTACAGATGTATAGATCGTTAAGAAAATTAGTAAGTAATTTGAAGAAACCAGCCTTTAAAAATGTATGAGCAAAAGTGCCATTTTAAAATACTGCATCTGTATATTCTTGGAAGTTTACCCTTTAAACGTATATTGTTCTGCGAACCTTGAATATTTGCGCGCGCACAACGAGTCTATATAAACCCTTGTAACTTATAAATGTTGCTCAGTATGTACACGACCTAAAGTGAAGAAATAAATGTAAGTTTTATCTTTCTTTCCTTTCATTTTTTAAACCTTTCAAAAGTTAGCGGATTTGCAGCAAAAAGAAAAGAAAAAAGAGAGTCTACGTATACCAAATAATCCTCATTGTTAGGTTGATAAAGGGATACAGGGTTACTCTTGTGAATCGGTTAGTTTGATAAAGGGATACAGAGTTACTCTTCAAAGATCCCTATCCTCTGAAGAATTGAAATATCTTTACAAAGGTTTGAAGAAATATTCTCCTAGCTTCCCGCATCATTNTTTGATAAAGGGATACAGGGTTACCCTTGTGAATAGGTTAGTTTGATAAAGGGATAAAGGGTTACCCTTGTGAGTAGGTTAGTTTGATAAAGGGATACAGAGTTACCCTTGTGAATCGGTTAGTTTGATAAAGGGATACAGGGTTACCCTTGAGAATAGGTTAGTTTGATAAAGGGATACAGAGTTACCCTTGTGAATCGGTTAGTTTGATAAAGGGATACAGGGTTACTCTTGTGAATCGGTTAGTTTGATAAAGTGATAAAGGGATTCATTCATTGAATTTAGGTCGACACTTCCTATAAATTTGTTATAAATGGACTGAACTGGTTTAAAATAGTTCAACTCCTAGCGTGGACTTCAACTGATATATGTCAAAACTTTAAAGTTTTTTTTACTTAAAAGAGTTTTAAATCAGTTTCTTCCATGTAAATATTAGAAAATGTTATAATACATACCGTAGATACAATACAATCAAGACTCAATTCAGTTCTTAAACTTCGAAGTTTTCAAATTTATAAAAACATTCTTCAAATCCTATCTTTGATTAGTAATTCCACTTCGAAAGAATATTTTTTTTAAAGCAGATTTTTCAAACAGTTACGTCACTTGACCTCAAATTTCGAAATTTAAAAATGTTCCATTCTTGAGTTCATAAATTGTTTAGATGTTTGGTTCTAGAGTTTGTATTATATAGATGTTTGATTCTTTAGCTCATATTATATAGATGTTTGGTTTCTGAGCTTATATTGTATAGATGTTTGGTTCTTAAGCTTATATTGTATAGATGTTTTGTTCTTGGGTTCATATTTTAAGTATGTTCGGTACTTAAGCTCATATTGTATAGATGTTTCAGATTATTAAGCTCATATTGTATAGATGTTCAGTTTCTGAGCTCATATTGTATAAAAGTTTGGTTCTTTAGCCTCAAATTGTATAGATGTTTGGTTATTAAGCTCAATTGTATAGATGTTTGGTTTCTGAGCTCATATTGTACAGATGTTTGGTTCTGAAGCTCATATTGTATAGATGATTGGTTCTTGAGTTCACATGATGTAGATGTTTGGTTTTCATTATATTAAACAGTTGTTTGAAATTTAAGCTCATATTGTATAGGTGTTTGGTTCTTGCGCTCACATTGTTAGATGTTTAGTTCTAGAGTTTATATTGCATAGATTTTTGATTCTAGCCTCTAATTGTATAGATGTTTGGTTCTAGAGCTTATATTGTATAGGTGTTTGGTTCTTAAGCTTAAATTGTATAAATGTATGGTTCTTAAGCTCACATTGAACGGTTTAAAGTTGAACATTTTGAAATGGAAATAAAAAATATATGTTGTTGTTTAAAATAGAAAATTTTAATTTAATTTTTAGTTTTGTTTTGAACGAAGATGTTTTGGAAACCTGATATGCGTCTTATTTCTAAAACTTTTTATCAATAATTGCCACTTCCTCTTTTTTATCAATAATTGCCACCTCATTTCTATTTTATCAATAATTGCCATCTCTTCCCTTTTTTATCAATAATTGCCATCTCTTCCCTTTTTTATCAGTAATTGCCATCTCTTCCCCTTTTATCAATAATTGCCACCTCCTTTCTTTTTTATCAAATTATTGTCATTCTGTTCTTAATACAATTCTGTTTAAAAATAACCTGTACGCATGCGGATTTCTTAGTCTCTTATATTCCAGGTCTGTGTCCCATTTTCCACAAATTTTTCCAAACTTTTTCTTTTCGGTTAATTCCTTTGACAGTCTTTTCCCAACTATTTAATAGTTTAAACTTTTTCTGCTTTGTATTTACTGTTCTAACAGGTTCCTCTCTTCTTCACAACATTGTACAGTACTACACCATGGTTAAAATCTGAAAATACATTGTACAGTACTACACCATGGTTAATATCTGAAAATACATTGTACAGTACTACACCATGGTTAATATCTGAAAATACATTGTACAGTACTACACCATGGTTAATACATATCTGAAAATATCTTTTTAAATTTTCATTTCTAAACGTTTTCTATATTAATTAATTCTTTAGATTTTGACTAGTATTTATTTAGTATCATTATCTAAAACCAGAATAAAAGTTTTCTATAATCTCTTCTCTTCGCTTCTATACCAGCTACCCTGCCCCCTTCCTCCTAACCTACCCTACCCCCTAACCTACCCTACCTACTAACCTACCCTACCTCCTAACCTACACTACCTCCTAACCTATCCTACCTCCTAACCTACCCTACCTCCTAAACTACCCTACCTCCTAACCTACTCTACCTCCTAACCTAACCTACCTCCTAACCTACCCTACCTACTAACCTACCCTACCTCCTAACCTACCCTACCTCCTAACCTACCCTTCCTCCTAAACTACCCTACCTCATAACCTACCCTACCTCCTAACCAACCCAACCTACTAACTTACCCTACTTCCTAACCTACCCTAACCCTAACCTACCCTACCTCCTAACGTACCCTACCTCCTAACCTACCCTGCCTCCTAACCTACCCTACCTCCTAACCTACACTACCTACTAACCTACCCTACCTCCTAACCTACCTTACCTCCTAACCTACCCTACCTCCTAACCTACCCTGCCCCTAACCTACCCTACCTCCTAGCCTACCCTAACACTAACCTACCCTACCTCCTAACCTACCCTGCCCCTAACCTACCCTACCTCCTAACCTACCCTACCTCCAAACCTACCCTACCCTGCCCCTAACCTACCCTACCTCCTAGCCTACCCTAACACTAACCTACCCTACCTCCTAACCTACCCTGCCCCTAACCTACCCTACCTCCTAACCTACCCTACCTCCAAACCTACCCTACCTCCTAACCTACTCTACCTCCTAACCTACCCTACCATCTAACCTACCCTACCTCCTAGCCTACCCTACCTCCTAACCTACCCTTCCTCCTAACCTACCCTTCCTCCTCACCTACCCTACATCCTAATTTACCCTTCCTCCTAACCTACCCTACCTCCTAATCTACCCTACCTCCTAACCTACCCTACCTCCTAATCTACCCTACCTCCAAGCCTACCCTACCTCCTAAACTAACCTATCCTTTCCCCTAATGTACCTCACATAATCCCACTGTGATCTTGCCAGGTTACGTTTGTTGTATAAAAAGTGCTGGGTCGACTGTACACCGGGTAGTGCAGACATAGTAGTACAACTGAATGCATAAACAGTATATGTGGTGCCGGCTCGGATTATGCAATTTTTAGAGTGGGGCGCACTCCTTACCCTTTCCTCACCCCTTGACCTACACTAATACTACCCCCTTATCTACGTACACATCCCCTGAACCTAACCCACCACCCAACCTCAATAATCCCCTTACCTACCCCAACCCAACCCATCCCACTAAGATTCCCTATTTATCCCCACACACCCTTTTTTATACTTTCTACCCTATCCACACTTTCCTATCCTGCACTCCCCTATTCTGCACTATCCTATCCTGCACTATCCTATCCTGCACTATCCTATCCTGCACTCCCCTATTCTGCACTATCCTATCCTCCACTCCCCTATCCTGCACTATCCTATCCTGCACAATCCTATCCTGCACTATCCTATCCTGCACTAACCTATACTGCACTATCCTATCCTGCACTATCCTATCCTGCACTATCCTATCCTGCACTATCCTATCCTGCGCTATCCTCTCCTGCACCATCCTATCCTGCACTATCCTATCCTGCACTATCCTATGATACACTTCTTATCTTCACATCATAAAGAAGATAATATTATAATAATTGTGAAAAAGTGATACCATCCACTCTCAAGTCCTCTTCCGTTCCTCATCTCATCCACTCATAAGCCCTCTTCTGTCCCTCACACTCATCCACCCTCAAGACCTATTCCGTCCCGCACACTCATCCACTCTTAAGACCTCTTCCGTCCCTCATACTAATCCACTCATAAGCCCTTTTCATGTCCCTCACCCTCATCCACCCTCAAGCCCTTTTCCGTCCCTTAACCTCATCCACTCTCAAGTTTGGTCCGTCCCTCAACCTCATCCACTCTCAAGCCTGTTCCGTCCCTCACACTCATCCACTCCTATGCCCTCTTCCGTCCCTCACACTCATCCACCCTCAAGCCCTATTACTGACCTTCGCACTCATCAACTCCCAAGCCCTCTCCCGTCCTTCCCATCCAGTCACTTACGAGCCCTCTCCCGTCCCTCACACCCATCCACTTACAACCCTTCTCTGTTCCTCACACCCATCCACTCTCAAACCCTGTCCATCCCCTCCCAGTTCCCACCCATCCACTTACACCACTAACTACCCCACACCTCTTATTAAAGTCTTTTTTATTCTTTGTTCCAAGGAATGTAATTGATATATATTAGAGCAGATTAATGAGATTTCTTAATAAACATCTAATTTGGATGTTATATTATGAATAATTACTCATTTCTAAACCACATTAAATACAAAATGTAAATTTGAATGCAAGACATGATTTTCTTTTTTATTATAAAGGTAATGTTGCTGTTAAAACCAGAATAAATAAAAATAAAACAAAAAATGCAATCAAAACGATAAAAATTGAATTTAGGAATTTGAGAGGAAAACCAGAAATAATTAGGAACCATTAAAAAAATACCAGCACCAGCATTAATAAAGGAATATCAAGCATAAATTTTGATGAAGAAACAACAGTGATTACAAAATTCTATTAATAAATGCAAGAACTTGAAAAAGAAAAAACAACAATTATAATTCTTCTCTTTCTCCTGTTATTTGATACAGAAGAAGCCAGCCAGAGATAAATTGAAAACAAGATCTTAAAATATATTTTATTTATTTTCTCACTCAAAATATACATAACTTCTGAGGTCGTTCATTTTTAACGATTTTTGCTCTTTAACAATTCATATTTTTCTTAATATTTTATTTTTTTTCAACCTAGTTTAGAGTATATTTTTGAACCCACTATAATACTGAGAGATTCTGTAGAAAAGTGTTGCTTAAAATAATGAATACATCTTTTAATACTGAGGAAGGGTTCTTGACAATTTCTGAGCTCTTATCAATTTGAAATAATTTCTTTTTCTCCCCTTTGCGAGGGATTTTATGTTTGCTCCGTGCAGTACATTTTTCAGTTATATTTTTCTTTTTATGAAATAAATTAAAATTCGATTTTTAAATTGAATTTTTTGTGAAGGTTGATGATCCCTGTTTCCCAGATGTAACTCAATTTTTCCTTTTTGCTTTAAGTCCAGAAAATTTATGAAATATAATATTTGTGCCGCTAAGGCCGCCAGCCCGCCGCTGTCGGCAGGGGACTAAACAATTGTTTAGAAATATTTCTCTTTTAGAAATTTAATTTAAATAAAGCTGATTTATGGTTCGAACTGTTAAACAATAAACTGGAGAAAATTACAGAACAATAAAGCATTTTCAAGAAAAGAGACAAAATTTGGACAAAAGAACTGTTTAGAGGAATACGGCTGGAAATAAATTGAGTTTCGCATCATTTCTATTTATTCTATTGAGAGAGGTAGATTTTTTTCTAAATCTTGTTCAATCTATTGAGAGACCAGGGTGACTTATGCGTACTGCAGGGTTTGGTCCTTGTTTTAACCATACTAGTCCGTTTCTTCTCTTTTTAAACCTTATATAAAATATTATTAAGCTGTTATATATAGATTACTTAAGAAAACAGACACTAGATGTCGTCTTTTCAAGATTTCTGTGTGTTTCGTTCACAATAACCCTGAGGCAGAAGCCCAAAGGAGTTACACGAAGTCGGCGTGGAACAGACTCCTCTCTCAGTCTTTGTTCTACGACGACTTAACGTAACTCCTTCAGGCTCTTGCCTCAGGGTTATTGTGAACGAAACACACAGAAATATATTATATATCTATGACTTCAGTTTTAGCAAGTAATTTTTACAATTCTGATCGATCGTAGTGTCCTATCTGTGCACTTTCTGATGATCCAAAAACAAAATTATTTTGTTACAATACTTCTGTAATTTTTTGTTTGTTTCAAAAAAATCTTCTCTGCGGATGCACTGTTTTAATAAAAAGCTTTCATGAAAAAATTTTTGATAAAATTATTTTTCAATATTTTCTCATTTGAGATAATGCTTTGTTGAAGAACAGAGTGTCATAAAAAAAGTATTTAAGACATTGTAGCACTCACTACGGTTTAATTTTTTTAAAATAAGCATTTATAAAATCTATAGAACATTTCCGATCGATTGATACCAATTAGAGGTATGTAGCACAAACATTTTTTATATTTAATAATTTATTTTATTTAAATTTTACATTATTTTTGAATATTCATATGATATCAGATGGTAATATTTGAGATTTCTATATTTCTTATTCTTCATTTTTTTCTTGTTGGTCCATCCTTCAATCATACTTCGGCTAATTTTGAAAATAAAAAGAAAGAATTTTGTTGGATGTCCTTGTAGTTTGTCTTGTTACAAGTAAGAACTATTTTTATATGATCTTGCTTTTTTTCTGAGCCAACAATTTGAAATTGCTGAGTATCTTGCTTTCTTTTTTTCTGAACTCTGTATACTCTTGGATCTTAATTTTTTCTGAACTCTGGATTGAATATTTTTTTATCTGGTCACACATCTGTTTTCTGTTTTTCTCTTTTAGATCTACGCATTCTAATCCCTTGTAGCACAAAAATAAAATAAAAGTATTGACAGTTTAAAGTTTGCCATTTCAGCTTGATTGAGACGTTCATGATTTGATTTTTGTTCGAATTCTTAAGCATATTGTGGAATTTATTAGGGTCTGAAAACGGTGTACCATGCCGTGTTACTGATCACAACATACAGGAGAACAGTTTAGATGTAAGGAATAGAGCAGAGAAATGTATTGCGAACCATAGGGGGCATTTTGAATAGAAAGACCATAAACATGTAGATATTTGTATTAATATTCTATCTCATTTTTGTTTAATTTTA